GGCGGGGGCTGGAGCCCCGGGCGAGTGGACAGTGGACAAGGCCTACAGCGGGGTTCACCTGGAGCTGTAGTGCCGGGAATGCTGCCGCGCGCACGTGACCTTTTCCCGCGCAGGGCGGGGGGGCGGGACCGCGTCGCGCGCCAATAAAGCGTGGAGACACGGGAGGCGCCTCCGCGTGCTCTGGGGGCGGGGCGGAGGGCCTGGCCAATAGGCAGGGGGCGGGGCGGTGGCACGTGGGACTCGGCCAATGAGCGCTGGGGGAGAGCGGTGGCGGGGTTGGTGCGGCTAAGATGGAGTCGGTAACTCTGGTGGCGCCGGTGACAGCGCTGGAGTTTGCGGGGGATGTGCTGCTGGCAGGTGAGCGCTGGGACCGGGACGGGGCAGGCGGCGGGACCAGCGGCGGCGGCTGACGCGGTGTCCCGCAGGTACAGGCCCGGAGGTGGTGGCGTTTCGGCTGAGCGGCAGCGGGCCAGCGGCGGCGGCGGGCCGGCGGAGAGTGCTGCGTGAGGCCAGCGTGCAGGGGTTGCGGGCCGAGCCGGGGCCCGGGCCGGCGACACGAGTAGCGGTCTTCGGTGGGCGCTGGTTGGCCGTGCTGGCGGTGCGGCGCTCCGGAGCGGGCGGCGGCTCGCGGCTCGCGGTGTGCGGCGGCGGAGCCGCCCGCCAGCTCGGGGCGCGGGTGTGGGAGGTGCGGTGGGCGGCGGGCAGTCGGCTGGCACTGGCGCTGGGCGGCGGGACCATGGCGCTCTACGAGTGGCGGGGCGGAGGGCGCTGGCTACAGCAGGCGAGCTGTGGCGGGGCCGGGGCGCTGCGCTGCGCCGTGCTGGCGGGGGTGAGCTGGGCGCGGCTGGCGCTGGCGGCCGGCACGGCGATGGGCGCCGTGGTGGTGTGGCGGGCGGCGGCGGCGAAGGCCCCTCAGCGTCAGCTGCGCGGACACCGGGGCGCGGTGCTGGCGCTCTGCTACGCGGCGTCGCGGGGGCTGCTCGCTTCCGCCTCCGAAGACCGCAGCGTGCGGCTCTGGGCCGTGGGCGAGTTGGGCATCGGGGACGGGCCCGGCGTCTGCCTGCTGGTGTGCTACGGGCACGGGTCGCGAGTGGCCGCCGTGGTGCTGCGGGGGCCGCTCCCGGTCAGCGCCGGCGAAGACGGCGCCTGCCTGGAGTGGGGCGGCGGCGGCGGCGTGCGGAGGGCGCGGCGTGGGCACCGCGGGGCCCTGCGCGCCCTGGCCCTCCGCCCCGCCGGCGGCCGCTTGGCTACGGGCGGCGACGACGGCGGTGTCCGGCTCTGGCAGCCCTGGCGGGCGGCCGCGGAGGCGGTCCCCGCGGTTGCGGCTCTGGGAGCCCCGGAGCGGCCGCGGGCCGTGCTGCTCGTGGGGCCGCGACGCGTGCTGGCGCTGGGTGAGGCGGGTGGGCTGGCGATATTCGAGGTGGCTCAGGGGCGCTGGACGCCAGTGCTGCACCCCACCGCCAGCGGGCCCCGCTCCGTGCTGGCCGCCGCCCCGCTGCACGAACGGGACGAGACGCTCTGCGCCGTGGCCGGCGGCGACGGGCGCCTCCTTCTTTTCGCCTTGAGCCGCCCTGCGGCCGCCTCCAAGCTCAGGCTGTTCGAAGGGGCTGTGCACGGGCTGAGCTGGGCTCCCCGTCACGGGCTCCCTCCCGACACCACTGCTGCCCTTCTGGCGTCCGGGCACGACGGGGAGATGCTCTGGCTGGACGTCACCCACCGCCCCGGGCAGGCACCCTGGGTGCGGCTCATGGGTCGGTACCTGCTGCCCCCCTGCAAGCAGCGCTGGCACACCTGCGCCGCCTTCTTGCCCCAGGAAGAGCTCCTGGTCTGCGGGGATCGCCGGGGCTCTCTCCTCCTCTTCCCTTGCAGCAGCTCCTCAGGACGGGCTGCAGAAAGCACCAGCATTGTCATTGGTGGCACTGACCCAGTTGTTGAGGACTCCAGCAATGAGTTGGAACCCTCTTGCTTGTTGCACAAAGGGACTCTTCCTCTTGAGCCCCCACTGTCAGTGCTCTATGGACTCCACGGGAAGACAGGAGTTACCTCGGTGACCATCCACAGGGGCTACATTTACAGCACGGGCCGGGATGGTGTCTACCGCCAGCTCCGCCTGCGGGACCAGCAGCTGGAGGTCCTGCAGAAACACAGGCCCAGCAAAGGGCTCCAGTGGATTGAAGAGCTGCATTTCACCTCAGATGGGGACCTGCTTGTGCTGGGCTTTCACGCTGACAACTTCGTGGTGTGGAGCAGCAGGACCGGCGAGAATGTCTACTGTATCCCCTGTGGGGGTGGACACCGCTCCTGGAGCTACTGCAGCAGCCCCTTGGCCAAGGTGTTTGCCTTTATCAAGTCCGGGGATGTGATGCTGTACCACTGTGAGGCTGAGCCCTGCAAGCAGCAAGTGCTGCTGCCATCCCTGCACGGGCGGGAGATCACCTGCGTGCGGCGCCTGGGGGCTGTTGAGGTGCCCGGCCATGCCACCGTTAATGTGTTTGTCACTGGCAGTGAGGACACTACGGCCTGTGTCCTGGTGCTCAATGAGAACTCTCGGGCAGCTGTGCCCCTTGCCCGCCTCAGTGACCACATTTCCAGTGTGAGGACGTTGGCATTTGCCATGGGACCTGGAGATAAGAGCTTTGGTGATGAGGGCTTGTCTGCCCTGCTCTTCTCTGCAGGCGGCCGTGCACAGATTGAGTGCTACCGGCTGCTGTGCGCTGGGGACACGGAGTCTGAGTGTGCTGTGGCCTGCCAGGTCATCCATGTGGCCTCCCATCGGCTGGACAAGCACTGGGAGAAGAAGAAGAACAGGCACAAGCTTGTCAAGATGGACCCAGAGACGAGGTGATGCTCAGGGACTGCTCAAGGCAGGGTTAGTAGTGATCACAGTGTGGGAGGGTGTTGGTAACTGCACGGGCTTCCACTGGAATACCTACTCTGTGCAGCTGCAGGTTCAGCTGAGGCAGACAAGGGCCAGCGTGGCTTCATATGTGATTCCTGGTGTACAGTGCCCTGTGGGCCTCAAGGGGCTTTTGGTTAGAGAAAGGCTGCTCTTCTAGGCCACAGAGGTTGTTGTGTCTTTGCTGCAGGTACATGTCCCTGTCAGTTGTGCCTGGGACCAGCACCAAGCAGCTGCCAACACCCTGGAAGTTCCTGGCTGCTGCCTGCAGCGATGGATCAGTCCGGTGAGGAGCCATCATGGGGCCTGACAGGGAGAATGGAGCTGGTGATGGCAGCAGAGCAGGCTCCACACAAGAGGCTGCTGCCATGGGATGTGGCCTGCTCTGAGCTGGCCATAAGACAGTGCATGGTGGGAAATGGGGCAGTGGAGCCAGAAGCTCCTACTCTCCCACAGCCAACTGCCCTCTGCTTCATTACAGGATCTTTGGGCTGCTGGAGGCTGCTCAGAAGTTGGTGCTGGTGGCAGAGTCATTTCACCACCAGCGCTGTGTGCTGAAGGTGGAGGCGTTCCTGCACACATGGGCAGGTGGGGAAAGGTGAGCCCTGAATCTTGGGCTGCAGCCAATGGGCTCTGGGGAGAAATGTCTGTCCTCACAGGGATGGCAGCTCAGCAAAAAGAGGGAAGGGAGAAGTTAATCCCTGGGGCCTGTTCTGCCACTTCTGTGGATCTCAGTGGGGATGCTCAGGGCTGCAGCCAAAGACTCTCCCTACACTCCGCATTGTAGGAGGCACCTCCTGTGCAGTGCAGCCACTGATGGCAGCATTGCCTTTTGGGACATCACCGGCCCCATCGTGGATGCAGCGGATGCCCTGCACCAAGAAGAGGGAGAAATGCAACCCTTGGGTGAGTGCTGCTGCCTGGCAGCTCTTCTGTTCCCTCTGACCAAGGTGAGCATTGCTCTCCTGACCGAGCCTGTTTCCCCAGCCCTGGGTGCCCCGCTGGTCACCATCATGGCCCACAGCTGTGGTGTGAACAGCCTTCACATCTGCGAGACACCCAAGGGACAGTACCTGGTGGCCAGCGGCAGCGATGATGGCTCCATCCATGTCTGCCTGTTGGATGTGGCCCTGGGCAGGGGTGAAGCCACAGCAAGGACCTGCCTGCAGGTCCTGGAGCGAGTGTCCAGGCCCTGTGCCCATGCTGCCCATGTGACAGGGATCCGGCTGCTGCGGCCAGACCTGCTGCTCTCTGCCTCAGTGGACCAGCGCCTGACGCTGTGGAAGCATTGCTCAGGCGAGCTGGTGCCCCTCAGCACCACCTTCTTCCATGTGCCTGACCTAGCTGAGCTGGACTGCTGGGAGGTGGTGGAGGCCGGGGGTGAGCTGCGGTACTACTGCGTGCTCTGTGGGCAGGGCCTGGAAATGCTGTGTGGTACAGCCTCTTCCAAACCTCTGCAAGAGGCTCCTCAGTAACAGGGCAGGTGTGTGACACATCCAGGTCCCTGCCTGCATTTGGAGGGCACCCTGCACACTAATATGTCCTGTCCTGAGGGGACAGGCATGCTGGCCTCCTTTGGGCACATACCATGGTTGTGGTGCTCAAGGCCAGTGGTCTCTCGGAAGAAGGCAGATGTGATCCCTCCTGGATAAGCCTGGAGCTTCCCTATGCAGTAAAAAAATCGGGGTTCTTGGTCGTCGCTGCCCTAGAGTAGCTCTTCCTCTCCAAGGTGTGAAGGACCTATGTTAGCTTTCCAGTCTTGGGCTCAGAGAGGAAGCTTGCTTGGGAGGGCACTGAGGACATGGCCTGGCCCTGGGAGCTTGAGAGCAGCAGGAGGCCAGGAGGGGTCAGGCACTGGTGTGACACGTGATGGGCTGCAGCCCTGTGTGTCCTGGGACAGGGCCCTGTATGACAGTCCTGACCCTGCAGTGCTGAGATGCACAGGGATGCTGATCTCCACAGCAGCACTCTGGCATGAGGGGTGGCTGGACTGCCCACAAATGCCACCTCCCTCGGGCCAAGTGGGTTGTTCCTGCACAGCAGGAGGACCCAGAACAGTCAGACCAAAAGAAGGACAAACAAACCTGAGGTCAGACACACAGAATGTTTGTCCAGCAACAAGTGTATTGGACCCCAGTACTGGGGCCTGGCTCAGAGCCCAACAGGAGCCTGGAGCCTCAGGAGCTCCCTGCCAGCACGGAGCACCCTTCAATAAAGTTTTGAGGGAGGTGAAGTTGGTGTTTGTCTGGCTTTGTGGTGACTGGTCCCTAGTACCACATCTCCAGTACTCCCAGCCCAGCTTCTGGGGTGCCACAGGAACCCTTTTGCCTTCTGCTGGTGTGGATGTGGAGGGGCATCGATGTCCCACACTGGGCACAGCTGCACAGAGCAGAGACCAATCCCCAAACACCATGGGCCATGGGAAGAGCCTGCATGCTGCTGAATTTGGCCTTGCCTACCACTGGGGCAGCCCCTCGCCCTGCCAGGAGAATTTGCCCTGTTCCCCCACAACATATGGTGTGTAGGTGACTGTCACACCATGGTACAGCTCTTCAGGGGTGACTCAGATCTGGCTGAGAGGAGGGAGGTGCAGGGTTGCCAGTGCACTGTGGAACACATCCCTCACTGCTCCCAGCATCTGGAGGCGTGCAAACATCTGGTCAAAGAGATGAGGGAATGGCTCCTGCAGGGAGAAAGGTGGCAGTTAGGGGCTGGTGGCCAAACTGCCATCCACCAGGCTGGCCGTGCTGGCATTACTGCCTGTGCACCCTTGGAGGATGGGACAGGGGGCCATCACACTGCTGGCACCATTCCCCACATGGCTGCCCCCCCAAATGCAGTGCAGCCCCAAAAGGACTGCAGGACCACAAGGCTGCAGGCTGGGACACCTTAACTCACCCCCAGGATGTGCACCCGGTTGTAGTAGGAGCTAAAATCCATGCTGAGCTGGATCAGGAACTTGCACACCTGCAAGGCAGAGACATTTTCATAGCACAGTGAGTTTTGGCTGGTCTTGGGCCCTCACCTACCCCAAGCACAGCAGGAACTGCCCCAGGAGCATTGCAATATATTATGTCAGCACTGGCCCTGTGTTGCTCACTGATGGGTAGCACCTGCTGGCATAGAGCTTTGCCCTGGGCTGGGACTGCTGGAGCAGTATCCACGGATGCTATAACACATGGCACTTACTGTCTCTGTGTTGGCAGTGATCCGGATCCCCTTGGAGGATGGGGGCAGCTGTGCTGCCTGCTGCAGGACTTCAGGGAAGGGCAGGAGATAGTTGAAGAGCAGGAGCCACTCGCCCTGTGGAGGGATTATGTTTCTCAGTGTCAGATCCTCCTGGGCCAGTAGCATCCATCACCAGAGCTGAGGGTGCACAGAGCCCCCCATTCCTTCTCTCAGCACTCACCTCTTCTCGGAGGCAGGCGAAGTTCAGTTCTGACACTGGTGGCAGAGGTGGATATGTGCCTGGAAAGCAGGGAGACTGTTGTGCCCAAAGAAGCCCCTGTGGCTCCAAGAGTGGCTGTCGAGGAGGATGGTGGGGCTGGTGCTCACCCTGCTCCACAGCCTGCTGGAAGGCGTTGAAGAGCGTGGCCAGTCGGGCACAGTTGTACATCACGAAGGCACCGCTCTTTGTTCCCTTTGTGGAGATGCTGTTGTTCTCCAAGTCCAGCGTGATCTGAGGGCAGGGAGAAGTCCAGGCTGCTCAGCACAAATCTACTCCACTGTTCCCACAATCTGCCAGCCCTGGCTCATGCAAGCCGCTGTCCTACCTGACTCCGGTGAGCAGTGCTCAGCAACTCAAACCTGATGGCAGCCACCGTCAAGGTATCAATCACCTCTGTCCAGGCCTCATCTGTGAAGAATGCAGGTGCCATCATGCACAGCTTGCTCCATTCCCATGTACTGATACCCCCAGCACCCAGGACAGCCCTGCCAGGACCAGGTAGTAGTAGAGGACCACCACACTGCCAGCCCTGGCTCCCATAGGAAGGACTTGCTCTGTGCCAGTGCCCTGGATATTTAGATGCCTTCCCAAAGCAAGGGCAGCACCTGACTTGATCCTGGAGGGGAGGAGCACCCTGCAGGGGTGCAGCCCCCCAGCTGTGGATTCATGGGAGCAATGAGAATGGGATGGAGCAGCATCCATGCATGGAGCCCCAGAGCAAACTCTCACCTTGTGCAAGTTCCCCGTACTTTATCACAGAGGCTTCATACATCTGGCGCTTTCGGAGTCTGGGAGAAACAGACAGAGCCACCCATTGTGGGCTGAGCTGGCCCACAGGGAGCCTTAGCAGGAGAGAAAGCAGCAGGTACCTTGCACACCAACTTACTGGAAGTACTGGTCTGCCCCAATGGGTGATGAGGGGTTGGTCACCTTCACTGGCCCACAGACAAGGTGTTTCTGAAAGACAGAAAGGTTGAGGCTGGGAACTGAGTGAAATCCAGCCCTGTTTGAAACCTAGTCATGAGCCAAGGATGGATGCTGGGGGCCACACTGAGGAGGGTCAGAGGCTGCTCTTGCTCACCTGCAAAGCTGTGTGGGCTCCCGGATCCAAAATCCTCCAGAGCACATCCAGCTGCTGCAGCTGGAATTCTTCCTCACAGTTCACCACATGCACGATGCTGCAGGAACTGCTCTGGCCTTTGGCCTGCAGCAGAGCACAACAGGGACCTCAATCCTATTACCTGGCAGAAGGGAAGGACACTTGGGAAGTGAGAGGCGGGCGGTGCTATGGGATCACTTACTGGGCACTGCAGAACAGCTTCCTGCAGCTCAGCCAAGGACCGCAGTGTCCCCTCTGTCACTGAAAGATGGAGGGACATACAGTGGGACATGGGATTCTCCACCCCACACCATTGGGTCTGCCCCAGGTTCAAACCAGACTGAAGGGGAACAAGAGGGGAAAGCCATTTGTGTCCACCCCCTCACTTTATTTTTGTTAACAAACAACTGAAAGGAAACAGGCCTCTTTGTACCCATTCTACCCCCACTACCACACCTGAGCTATTATACATGTGAGGCTCACCAAGAAGCACATCTAGATTGGGGTCGTAGCCCAACAAGCCCTGCTGCTCCACGAAGCTCTTCAGGTGCACCTTGCAGATGACACCCTCGGCTGTGCCCGGCCCCTGCTCACAGGCTGCAGCACAGGTGCACCGGCCCAGCGCTACCTTCAAGGCTGAGACGGCATCAGTGAGGGACGAGACACCAGAGCCGGAGGGCCAGTAGATGCGGAGCTGCCGCACGACGTCCCAGCTCCTCTCATCGCTGAGGGCAGGGACCAGGCGGACGCTGACCCTGCGAGAGAGAGCGAGGCAGGTGCTGGGAGCGGCAGGCCCTGTGGCGAGGGGCCGGGCGCAGGACGAGATAGAGGCACTCACCCCTGGGCGCGCAGCAGCTGGGCCAAGTGGTCGGCCACCAGGACGGAGCGGAGGTGGCGGGGCCGCAGGGCAGCGGGGTTGCGCAGGGCCGGGCAGTGGAGCACCACGCAGCCCGTCCGCGCCCCCGCCGCCGGGGAAGCTGGGTCGGGCAGAGGCCCCAGCAGGCGCTGGAAGGCCTCAGGGCGCCGCACCTGCACCGCCAGCCCCGCCGGCGTCTGCCGGCAAACCCGCAGCGGCAGCACTGCTGGGCCCCGCAGCGACAGCACCGCCGACACGGCCTCGGGGGGCACCTGCGGGCGGAGGGTGAGGAGGGGTCCGGGCTGCACGTGCATAGGACTGCGCCACCCCTGGCCTCATCAAACAGTTCCCACAAATTCCCGCTCCCGACCGAGGCCCGCCCACGCCGCCGCAACCTACCTGCCCGCCGGGAAAGGCGGCGCTCAGGGCGGCCCGCGGCGCCAGGAAATCCCGGTGGCGCAAATTGCGGGCGCCGCTCTCCTTCACCCAGAGCGCGGCTGGCCGCCCCAGGGCTCCGTTCAGCGCCCGCAGCGTCGCCGCCACCCCGGGGCGGCCCTCATCCATGTCCATGGCAGCTCAGCCGCCGCTTCCGCCACCGCGACCGGAAGTGACGTTTCGCCTCGCCCTCCCGATGCCCGCAGACGGCCGCCATGTCGCGCGCGGCGCCCCTGAGCGGCCATCTTGGTCCCGGGCGGGGTGGCCGGGCAGAGCGGCCATCCTGGGGGGAGAAGCGGGCGCGGAGCCACCATGATGGGTGTGGCAGACAGCGGGCGCCGCCATGATGAGTGTGTCAGGTCAGGAGCATGGAGCTGCAACCAGGCACCCCGAATGGCCCGAGAGGGTCTCAGTCCCTCTCAGCCTCACCCCAGCAGGGCCATGGTGTCACCCTGAGGTGTGTAGGGGGAACCCAGATCTAAAACCCTCAAGAACCGAGTGGGAGCAGGAGCCAGAGGCCAAGCTGGGGGAAGAGCTGCCCTGGGCAGAAATGGGTTGTCCAGGTCAGGGAGTGCAGCGCAGCTGCGGGCATGGCCCAGCTCAGAGCACAGCCTACTGATCTCTGGGCTGTTGGGGACAACGAGGGGCCCTGGGAACAGGTCCAGCAGCCTGAACTGTGGTAGGAAGGGAGGCTTGGATGGGCTGGAGTGTGTGAGGCAGATGCCAGCTGTGGGCATGGTATCACTGGCAGACCCTGGCTGGCCAGTCCAGTCTGTCCACCACGAGCCCTAGGGCTTGGCTGGGCTGTGATACCATGGCTGAGGAACATCAGCAGCACCCATGTGCTCCCAACATGGGTTCTGCACGGCAAAGCAATGAGCAGCTGTGGGTGCACACCCAGCGATGTTCTACAGGCCTGCCCCAGTGGGCTCCTCGCTGTCCAGCACATGAGCAGTGTCCCGCTTATCAGCCCCAGGAAAAAGGAAGTGGAAGCGATTAGATCACGCCATCGTGGTCTTGATTACATCTGCAGAGCTGAGCTGCTCCACAGCAATGGTTGGAGCACAGATCTGACAGAGAGCTCACACTGCTGGCCAGCTCCCCGACAAGTGTGCCAGTGGCTGCCGAACTGAGGACAGAGCAAGGGCCCAGCACACCCCCAGCCTCATGGCACCAAGCCTGATTGACAGGGAGCAGGAAGTGCCAAAACCCACCACAGCACCGAGCTAGGGACCTCCCTCTCTACTCTGCTCTTCCTGCCCTCCCCGTGGAGGAAGGGAGGGGGGGAAGGAGCTCTGCCCGCAGGGCCCAAACCGGTTCCTCCAGGGCTTGTGTGCATGGGGGAAAAGGGGGGGGAGCAGGGCGAGGGCAGATCCTGCTGCATGTGCTCTTCCAGAAATGCAACAACTCGTTTTGGGGCTCCTCAGGCAGGTCTGGAGCACTAGGGCTGCAGCCCACAGCCAGTGAGAATCTGCAGCCCCAGGGCAGGAGTGAGAACATGTGCCCCAGCCGTGCCATGGTGGGGTGCTCCCTGCACCACCCACAGCCAAGAGGTGATCTGAGAATCGCTGCTCACACCAGACCAACTGCTGACTGTCCGCAGGGCAGGAGCTGCCCAGGACCCCTGCCCAGCTGGGGAGACTTGCTGGACCTTGTGTCACCACTCAAGGTGGGTCCAGGCTGGACTCGTCCACATCCCCAGAGCGTCCCCGCAGGCCGCCCACGTGGGCCCTGGCAGCGCAGTGGCCTGGGGAGGGCTCTCGGAGACGCCGAAAGAGCTTTGGAAAGACACGACATCCCCGATGGCTCTCTGGCTGCCTGCTCAGCGGGAGTGATCGTGTCATTCCAAAGCCATCTCTCTCCAGGGGCTGGATCCTGCCCACCCCTGCAGGCACTGGAGTGCTGCGAGGGCCAGGGAGAGCCGGCATGAGCAGGAAGTTTGGCAGTATCACACAGCCTGCACCACCTTGGTGCAGGGGACCACATCCACCCTGCGGCCAAGCAGCCATGCTCCCCATGCTCTCCCAGGAAGCCAGCTGCTATTTTTAGCTGTTGGGCGCACAAGAAACAGAAGAGTCTCCAGCCGGTGCAGGGGCTGAGCCACGAGGCTGGGCACTAGTGATCCCCCATCCTGACACCACCCTTCTTCCAGTGTGGCCCCAGGAGCTGCCCCAGCAGGGGTTGGAGTGGGACACGCGGTTCTTGCCCAGCACAGGGTGGTGGGCAGGGGTGGGGGGCACGTGGGGCGAGGCGGTGGCGGGAGCGCGGGTAACGAAACCCCAGGGCAGCTGGGCACAGCGGGGACAGCTGCTTTTGGGATTCCGTTGCCCGCGCTGGCGCCGCAGAGGGATGGACACGGGCACCACGGCCATGCCACCCCGACCCTGGGGCAGTCGGTGGGCCAAGAGGGGAGAGGGCGACTTACCGGCAGGGACCGGGGCGGAGGAAGTGCGTGGGAGCCACTGCCGGGCCGTTGTGATCGGGGGTGTCGGCAGAGACCGGGGTTGTGCTGTCGGCTCCCCCCGCGCCGCGGGCCGGGTGCCAAGGGGAGGGCGGCACGGCCGAGCCAAAAGGAAACGGCTCCGAACAAAGCCCCGGTGGGGCTGGAGCAACTGGTGCCAGCCCATCAGCCCCCGACGGGGCCCGGAAACACGAGCCGTTCCCGAGAGAGGGCACCTGCACCGGCACCTGCGCCCACAGGCGGCACGGCTCGGTCCGGCCCCGCCGCTGCCAGCTCCCGGCCCCGGCGAGAAGCCCTCGGCACAGCCACGGGGGGAATTCAGGCCGCGTGGGGAACCCCACCGGCCCCATGCGGAGCTCCCGCGGTGTCGCCTGGGGATCCCTGGGACCCTGCGCCGGCCAAGGCTGCTGGCTGTAGGAGTTCCTGATGCCTCTGGCACGGCACGGTGGCGGGAAATGCTCCGCTGCCACTGTCGGGGAGCTTCCCGGTGCCCCCCGCAGTGTCAGGCAAGGCTGGCCCCGGGTGGGTGACACAGGTGGGGACGTGGGTCCCCTGTCCCAGGGCACCTCTGAGCCCGCAGTGCCGCCGGCCTCACCGGGCGCGGCAGGAGGGGGGAGGGTGCAGCGGGAGGTCCCGGCGGCGGCTCGGGGGTTTCAGCCCCGACTGGCAACAGCCGCCCGCAGTGGGGCACACAGGGAACTGGGGCGCCGTGCCGAGCCTGGGGCAGCCCCGGGGCACCGGCGAGGCCGGGCCAGGAGCGCAGCCAAGACCCGGGCCCGCTCCCTCCCGCCCGGGGAGCCGCCCGCTCCCCTCTCACCTCCGGCCCCGCAGCCTTCGGCACAGAAGCCTGGGCCGGTCCGCAGCCCCTCGCGGCGGCGGGGTCGGACAGGCTCCAGCGGGACACCCCGCACCCCGCTCCCGCCGTGCCGCTTTCGCTCCGGCGCCCACCTGGGCTCTGCAGGTCAGGGTGCACCCGCGCCCGGGCACAGTGGGTGTGTGAGTGTCGCGGCCCTCCCGCCCCTCAGGACCCGCGGGCGGGGCGACCCCCAGGGCTCCCCGGGAGCCCCTGTCCGACCCCGCTTCCCCGGTGGCGCTATCCCGGCCCCGGCCGCCGGGGGGCGGTAGCTGCGGGGGCGGGGCCGCGCGGCGGTTCCGGCGGTGTCGCGGCCATGGCGGCGGTGGCGGTGCTGCGGCGGCTCGTGCCGGCCGTGGGCCGGGCGGCGGGCAGGTACCGGCACCGGCAGTCGACACCGCTGCTGCTCTGCGATCAGGGGAGGTGCCCGTAGGATGCCACAGGGTCTTCGGGGGGGTGTCCTGAGTCCCATGTGTCCCAGCTGCTCGTTCTCCCCGCAGAGCGCCGTGCCGGGGTCACCGGCTCACGCCGGCGGATGATGAGATGTATCAGCGGACGCGGGTGATGGTACTGGAGCCAGAGTCCCCCAACATCATGTTCATCGAGGGCTACAGCACCCGCGGCTTCACCATCAGCGGAGACGTGGTGGTGGGGCCCTGCGCCATCCTGCCCCGCAGCATCCTCCAGTGGAACGTGAGTGCCCGGCTGCGGAGCGGGGGCTGCCGGTCCCCACCGCGCACCGGGGGCAGCCCCCCTCAATGTCCGCCGTGTCCCCGCAGGTTGGTTCCCACCGAGACATCTCGCCCGAGAGTCTGTCGTTGTTCCGGCTGCTGGAGCCCCAGATAGGTACGAGGGGCAGGAGGGGCGCGGGCTGCTCCCCTTTTCGGGCTCCTGTCGGGGTGGCTGTGCGGGAGCCATTGGTTCCTGCAGGAAGGGCAAGTCTGGGCCGAGGCAGCTCGGATGCTGCCCTCCCCACTCATATCGTGCCCTGGTTGCAGAGATCCTGGTGCTGGGCACAGGGGACAGGGTGGAGCGGCTCCCCCCAGCCACGCTGAAGCAGATGAAGGAGTGCGGGATTGCTGTGGAGGTGCAGGACACGGTAAGGAGGGCTGAGCACAGGCAGCACCCCATTGAAAGGGAGGGAGGAGGTCATGTACCTTGTGGGGAGGGGCCGAGTCTCCTTTCTGAGGGCCCGATCACTCACTCCCTTTTCTATTCACAGGCGAATGCATGTGCAACCTTCAACTTCCTAATAAATGAAAGACGCCTGGTGGCTGCTGGGCTCATCCCCCCGCGGGGCACCTACGGGATGTAGGCACTGCCTGCCATGCCCATGGTTCTTTCCCTTGCCTTCCTGAGGCCCCCAAGGGTCACTGCTTCCAACTGAGAAACGCTCCATAGTTGAACTGTGCAGCTGCCGGCTGGGTGATGTCTCTGCACGCAGGAGGGCTGTGAAATACATGGGCTTAGCTCTTCCCTGCAGTCCCTGGTTTCATCACCTCCTTGCCCAGTCTGGGCTGGGGACTGTGGGGCACAGTACAAGGCTTTGCTGGCAGCACTGCTCCCACAGCCCTGCCAAGGTCATGCCCCACACCTTGGCAAGAAGCAGCCTCACCTGAGGGAGGGTGAAGGCTGGTGGGGTGAGCTGTACACTCGTGGGCACATCGGGAGCTCCACGAGGAGAATGTATATAAATGGGAAATACAAGAAATTGTGTGGTAGTTAATGCACAGTGCATTGAGGCTGCAACAAATTGATGGGGCATGTGCTCACCTTGGGCATTGGGCAGCATGTGTGGTTGTAGGATGCCATGTGCCAGCAGCTTCCTGAGCACAGCCAGCACCAGCAACTACTGTGTCCCAGCTGATGCTGACCTGGCTTGGGCTCTCCTATGGGGCTTTGTATCACCCCAGGACCAATGTCCCTTGGGCAGTGTTGGCCCAAGGGTGTTGCACCCCCTCTCGCTGAAGGCTCAGCTCCAGCAGGGGACATGGAAAGGGTCTCTGTTTTGTCCCCCCACTGGTTGGTTCATAGTTGGGGATGTCACCCCTGGGGAAGAGAGTACACGTATATTCTGGAAGCCTCATGCCCTGAACTCTGCCACGTTGGCAGGCAAAGGCAGGGGATGCAACTGCAAGGTTAAGGTGGTTTTGCTTAGCAAGTGTCTTAATGAGCATGTGACACCAACACCGTGGTATTGTAGTCAAGGCTCTGGTTTTAGTGTATAAATCAAATCTGACATCCCCAAACCACTGATGGAAAACACACACTTCAGCAGGAGTGACATGTGGAACATGTACAACTGATACAGGTGTAAAATACTTCTTGGCTCCTGGCATTGCACCCACAGGTAAACCTGCCAAGCCATGGAAGTTTGCAGTGCTCAGGACTGCAGAAATGCAGGCCAGCTCCTTTATAAATCTGTACCCCTCCCAGAACATTGCTCACCTTCCAGCAAACAATTGCTCTGTTGGATCCTGGGCAGGTAATCCACAGTGAACAGCCCAATGCTGGAGGCGTGGCAACGAGATGTTTAGGGGAATGCAGCAGCTGGACCAGGAATGGGGGCCTGTAGCATCCTGGCTGCTACCACAGCTGGGTTTGGCAGCTCCCAGCAGGACATAATGGCCTGTAAAAGGGTTTGCTTTCTTGCCCAGCAGCCCAGCCCTCGTTTTCTGCTCTCAGGAAAGATTTTTTAAAGAAGCCACACTGTGTTACACACTCAGCCCTGTCTCAGGGCTCTCCCCTCCCTTTTGCCCTTCACATGCACACAGTCCCTTCTGCGGTTATCAGCTGCCTCTGACAGTGTGGGAGACAAAGGACAGAGCCAAGGACGTAGAGCAAAGAAGGTAAAAAAGGAAGAGGGGCTCCGGGCTGACACCAACTGCACATCTTTTCATTTTTTTATTGTAAAACATGGCCAACATGTGCAAGGCTCCAGCCCAGGTTCACAGGTCCTGGGTGGAAGGTAGGCCCCGCGGGTGGTCAGAAAGCAGCCAAGGGACAGCAGGAGCTCCAGGCAGCCCAGAATAATGGCACTTCTGCAGCACGAGCAGCTCCCACGTGGAGCGGCACAGGGCTGGGTGGCACAAGGACAGACACAGACAGATCTCCTTCAAAAGAGGCGCTTCTCATACCTGCGAGGGAAGCAGCACCAGGAAGCCCCTTTACTCACCCACCTCACTCAGGGCAGGGACAAAGGTGCAGTGTGGAATGGATCCTGCCAGCCCAGGGAGGGGAGCAGCCTCAGCACCCTGACAGGCCAGGGCTTGGCCCCGCTGTGCAGAGCCAGGACAAGCCAATGAATGACACACCAAGCCAAGGGCATGGCAGCTGAGGAACAAGGTGGCTGTTCCTGACTCCGAACACGCCCCCAAGGTGACAAGGATCCTGCCAGAAGCACTTACGAGTGGAGGCCGTGCACCCCTCCTTCAACCTGGGCAGATGTTGTCCTCTTCTCAAATTTCAGCTCTCCCGAGTACATCATGGCTCTGAGGGGGGAGGACACCTGTCACAAGCCAGGCACAGTCCAGGGAAGACAGTGCTCTGGCACATGCTCAGCTGGAACATCTGGGATGAGGGTCACTGGTTCCTCCAGCTGTAGCCAGAATAGTTTTTGCTGTGCTCCTAAGAACCAGGCTGGATAACGTAACCCCAACATTTTGAGCCCACCCAGCTGAGTATGCTACAAGAGACCACACTCCTGTGTCCCTGGGGCTGGCAGATCCATGATGCAGCGCCCACAGGAGATGAGGGAAGAGCTATTAACTATCCAGAACACACCACAGCTTGAGTACAGCTGCACAGGGACTCCAGAAAGCAGCACCATGACCTACAGGCACGGGGAAGCACTCACCGGACTTGGGTCAAGCTCTTGGCACCAATATCCTGGCAGGAATGCTGGATCCCAGCAATTAGGTATGGAATGAATTTATGGATAGAGCCCTTGTCTTGCACTGCACCGGAGACTCCCTGGGCCACTTTAATTTTGTCTGTCTCACTGCATGAAAGCACAAATCAAGGGTATTTGTGAAGCAGAGAAGCCCCAAAAGCTTGATCTGCTGCCCCAAAGCACCATCTCTGACCTGAAATACCGGTTCTGGCTTCCCAAGTTCTTGTCCATGGCATCTAGGGAGCCCATGCCGCGGTATTTCTTCAGCCTGATGCCATCCGAGAAGAAGTACTCGCCTGGGGCCTCCGTGGTGGCAGCCAGGAGAGAGCCCATCATCACTGGCACAAGATATCATCAGGAACAGCACATCAGCAGCAGTGGCAGTAGCTGCAAAATCCCTCAGGGTTCCTGGACACAGCACTGCCTGCAGTCCCTATGCCCCCAGCCACCTGCAGGTAAACGCCCTTACGCCCAGTGTGATGCCATATGGACACCTCCTAGGAGATTCCCTACAATGCTGCTCACCTGTGGAGGCCCCAAGTGCCAGGGCCTTGGCGATGTGCCCAACTGTCTGGATGCCTCCATCGGCGATGACGGGCACGCCGAACCTCCTGGCGTACTCAGACACCTTGTACACCGCCGTGGCCTGGGGACGGCCGCACGCCAGCACTGCAGGACAGAGCACACACAGGGTCAGCTCCACGCAGCAGCACAGCCCCGTCCCAGCAGGCTCCTTCAGGCTTCTAGCACACACATGCTCTAGCACTCAGAACGCACAAATCCCTGGATGCTCCTTCCCTAGGCTGAATTTGCAAGAGAAGCAGATGCCCGGGAGATGCCTGCTGAGACGTCCTCACAGCCCTTGGCTCCAAAAAGCTGTGAGTAACTTGGGACTGGGGTCTTTGATCGGATGCCTGTGATCAGATGAGATTCGTGGCTCAATCCTGGTGCACGGCAGACATGTGGGAAGCTTGGGAAAGAAATAAAGCAAACTCCAAAAGCCCCTCTCCAAAGCATCCCTGGCATGTAGCCATGTCCCACTGCTGGCTCTCTCCTGGAGCTGCCAGACCCCTTGTCCATGTACCCAGCATCTGTATGATGTGCCTCTTGAATGGAAAGGCAGTTGGCTTGGAGAGAGCTCATATGCCTGTATATGGTATAGATATAAATATATCTATACATACAGGTCTGCAATACACACACAAACACACATGCAGCAGTGGAAAGGGAAACAGGCAGAATGGTTTAGTAGTAATTTATGTTCCTGCCCTGCAATGTAGCAAGGATTCCATCAAGTTTAGCTGCCCCATGAGGAGAGAGTTATTAGCTTTGGATTTACTTGTTTGTCTCAGTTGGTAGCAGTTAAGAACCTTCCCATCATGTGAGGAAAACCAGCACAAGGCATGTCTTGTAACATGTTTGTCAGCCACAGGCATGCAAGAACACTGAGATAAGCTTCTCTCAGGGAGACATCCCTTCCCCACCATCAACTAGAAGCCTTTTCTCCAGTCACGGTTAGTCCCATAAACTGTGTAAGATTAAGGCCATACAGTATTAGTACTTTGGAGTGTGAACTCCAGGTGTAGTTCAGCCTGCATGGCAGCAGTGCTGGCAGCACATCCCTGGCAGGGGCCTGCCGGGGCCAGGAGGCTACAGTTTCTCTACTCCCAGCACTCAGCAGCAGCTGCTGAGGGAGGGCAGCCAGACTCCAGGCTAAGATTGTGAAGGAACTAAATTTAATCAGATCCCAGCATTCAGTTCAGGCTCAGTCAGCCAGGGAGAGGCTGCCAGCTTTATCATCAATGCCCTTAAAGAAATGGTTTTGTACAGTTCTGCACTGCTGAAGGCCACAGTGTAGCTGCAAAACGCTGCTGTGGAAGAGCTCTGTGGAGAGAAACACCCATTTCTGCAGGGTTTTGAGTCCAGGGTCTATGGGATTGTGCCATAGACAGTGCAGGGCCTGCAGAAACCTCTCAAGCGCAATGACAGAGACCAGCCCTTTTCAGGCACAGCTTGGCTCAGGGCCCCTGGGAACATCGTGCCTCTCCGACTGTCCCAGTGCCCAGTGCCACAGCCCCGGAGCGCAGGCTTCCCAAGCAGGGTTCTGAGCACACACACACACATCACACGGTCAGGGTGAGGGTTTGTCCCTTTTAGTGTATTGGCAAAGGGTGGCCCTACAAAATCAGCTGCTAGAGAAAACCTTCCTGGATCTGCAAGAGTAAACCTCTCCCTTTGAGGTGTGTCACAACTAGGAGAAAGGACAAAGCCTAAGGCTTGCCTTGCAGAGGCTGCTTGATCAGAGCATCAGAGCAGACAACACTGCATCCTGTGGTGGGCAGGCAAAAGCTTCTTCTCTCCACAGGGTTTGGTGGGGAAAAGATGTAACACAGCTGCCAAGGTGGCCGTGTGCAGTGAAGTCCCTCTGTAACTCAGGGGAGCCAACTCCACGGGAAGCTTGGCCAGTGCACAACTTCCCAACTAGGGCAGTATTTTGAGCACGATCGAGAACTGCTCAGGGATCGTGTCCCAGTACTGGATCAGCAGCAGCATGCCTGGCTAGGGATCAAGAAGGTGCAGTCAGGCTCCTAACTGGATTTTGGAGTGGAGAGAGGACAGACCTGAGTTCCCTCAGCTTGGACAGTTCAGATTTTGCTTTACGAAATCAGAAGGGCTTCTCAGATTTCATTTCAGATTCAAAACCAGTATCCAAAGCCACAAAACCCCAAGTGCATCTACAGCTAAATTATTCTCAAACAAGCAGTAGGGCCATGTGCAGCCAAATCAGGGTCCTGCTTCAAGACACATAATTAGGGTTGGGAACAGGGCAAGTGACTTACTATAGGTGCCCGTGACAGTAGAAGGGCATTTGGGGCTGTGGGACTTTAGGTCTGGAGGGATCTTTGGAGCAGCTAAACAAAAACAAACACACACATTTTAGAGACAGAAGAACAGCAGCAGAACAAAGGACCCCAGAAGTGACCTGCTACTGGGCAGAGCATACGGTGTGGGACAGAGCTGACTTTGCAGACCCTTCCTATCCCAAGCCAAGCCAGAGGCTAGATCCAAGGCAGCCAGGCCCGGCTGTGCACAGCGCATGCTCGCCCTACCCCAGCAGCCACCCAGAGAGGTGACCCCAAACCCCAGAAAGCCAGAGTTCTTGCCCTTAACAGGGCCAAAAATCAGGGGAGCTGCAGGCAAGAGTTCTGCAACTACATCTCCTGTGAAGTGCCATATTCTACCTCTGCTCTGCACCTTTGCCAAAACCAGCACCCAACCCCATCTCCCGGGCAGCTGGAGGAACCCCTGGGACATTCACCACTCTGCAGATCAGAGCATGCCTCTGCCTCGGAGGCTGGGCAGGACATGTCCTGGCTCTGCTCTGGCTATGGAAGTGTCAGCCCAAGGATACTACTCCTTCCTTAGAAAGACTTGAGACAGACTGCCCTGACTGGGAACCCCCTGCAGCCAGGCAAAGCGGGAACACAGCACAGGTCCAGGGCTGCTCACAGGCTCCATGCTGGAAAGGGCAGAGCTAATGCAGCTCCTACAGCCAGCAGCTGCTCACTTGCTGCCTCCTGTGCCTCTGTGGCACAGACCAAGGACTACAGCAGTGAGGGGCTGTGCTTGTGGACTGCAGCGCCTTGCTGCACCACCTCTCTACACCCCACTTGAGGTTCAACACACAAGGACTGAGTTTGTCCTCAAGACAGATTTTCTTCAGGCCCCGGGAGATGCCCCTCTTGCCTTTTAGCTAAGGCAAGCTCTTGCCCCACGCAAGCTCCGTCTAACTGCAGAGACAAAAGCAAGAAATCCCATTTTGGCCTGGAAATTACAAAGGCATTGGGCCCAGATCAATACTCAAGCATCACGCACACTGCTGCCAGAGGGAAAGGGTGCACGGACAGTCCAGTGCACTTCACCCATCAGCACTGGGGATCCAGTAAGCCCCTTTCCCTGCACAGCTACCCACCAGCCCCATCCCACACCGAGCCAACAGCTCCCCTCAGGCAAAGCCACCATCTGCCACACCAGCTCTACTCAGTCTCGGTCAGGACTGGGAGATGCCTTTGCTGCTGCTGCTACCCCAAAGGTTGGAATTCCTGGACAAAGGGGGTGAAAGATGTCTTGTTGTTGGACACTGCCCTCACAATGGGAGAATTCCATCCCAGCTATGCTGCTTTTCAGCAGGGAATTTCTACTAAACGTGTCATCAGCCTATTTAGGAGGCGGCTGATCTCTCTCACCTTCCTGCGTGATGCAGATGGAGCCACTGCCCATCCCGACCCTCAGGGCATCAACCCCCGCGTCAATGAGGTTCTTGGCCTGAGCTGCAGTCACCACTGTGGGGAGCAGAAATCGGTTTGAAAACAAACACATTTGCAAACAAGACTTCTCTGCCCTGGAGGTTCCCCCACGGCTGCCAACACCCCCTGCCCAGGGCAACAGTCTCTGCCACAGCCACAGCTCTGGGAGGAGCTTCTGCCCCAGCTATCCCAGTGGCTAAGGTGACACTGCCCCTTTAGATTATTCTGCAACACACTTCCACCAAAAGGCTGAGGCAGCAGAAGTCATGACATGGTCCAAGCACTCTCTGGGCCACACGAGGTAGGGAGGGGAGAGCACAGGCTAACAGTAGCATCAAGTAAAGACAAAGACCACTGGACTCTGCTGTCAAGAGGCAGGGAAAACTGCCATTAGATTGTTACATCAAGCAATGTTCATTATTACGCAAAATTTTAAATTGTTGTGTAAAATAAGCTAATGTGTAATGTGGCAGAGGATTACAACGCACTGTGCCGCAGAAAAAAGGCTCCCAAGTATTTGCAGCAATACGGTACTGCCCTGTGTCTACAGCGGTCTTGCTCCATTAAGTACACAGAAATTTACCAAAATGACCGTTTCATTCACATCCCTGCAGCTCCCTCTATGTCTAAGAAACAAATATCATTTAAAGACAAGAAGAATCTTCAACACACGCTTACCGTTTCCTCCAATAACTTGTAGGTTGGGATATTTCTCCTTAATGTATTTTATCATATTGATTTGGAAGATGGAATTCCCCTGAGAGGAATCCTGCAACAGAAAGAAAATCAGTTTCAACCAGAATTTCTGCAGATTACAAATGAAGCTTCAGATCTTCACTCTGCTTGCTGGGGTCTCTGCTAAGCTGGGTAATGGGGAAAATGACTCCCCAAATTGGGCACAGAACCCTGGGAGAAGCTGCTGCCAAGACAGGAATATACCTTCCCTTTACAAGGCAGCTTATTGTAAAGACTTCAGTAATATCCTTCATGTTTAATCCTGTAGCTTCTATAGAAGGCAACAAGCAGAACATCTGGCTGTGGATAAGAACCATCTGGCTCTAACAGCAGGACACTGTCAGCCCTGTCTCAAACTACAGGTGAAACGGAGAACGTTCCTTGAGAAACCCAGGAGGACTGGTGGGAGGATGCACCTCCCCACTGTGCAGCAGAGCAGCTCAAATACCAGATGTCGAGCACTGAGCACTTAGTCCCTGCCAATCTCTGTGACCCAGTCAAATCACGTCTGTTAAACATTTCCCACCGCTCAGCCATGCCCTAGAGCACAGCAGACTCACAGGATCATAATCAATAAGAAAACCATGTGCAAATACAGGCAGTAACAACTGTGCCTGAAAGTTTACAGGCCGGAAAGGGAGATCAGCAGAGTAGCTCTGGGCTCACTGACCACTCCTGAACATCAGTAAGAGAGTCACACAGTAACAAACACCAAAGGGACAAAGGGAAACTATAAAAAGCCAAATACTCAAAACTAGTCAGGAACGTCAGCGTCCAAACAGTATTTGTAGAAGATTCTGTATTAACTGACAATGTTTCTCTTCTCAGCCTTCAGGGCTTCAATGCACCCTACTCACTCCCTCCAGGTCACATAAGTCTCCAGGCAAGAAGAATCCCTCCAAACTGAGGATTCTAACCCGAACAAGACTGAGAAGCCAACAAACCACCATCTTCTAACACAGAAAGGCCTATGACAAAGACAGTGAGTGCCATGCTGCTGCTACACTGTCAGAGATGTTCGTCCAGCCCAGGGACTCACTCCCCAGTGTCCCAGGCTGACACAATGCCCATGGGTCCCCTGTGGGTGCTCACCAGCACAACAGCGTCCACGCCAGCCTGCACCAGCAAGTCCAGCCGGTATTTGTCATCCTCATGAGTGCCGATAGCAGCACCACAGAGCAGCTGCTTCTTGGAGTCCTTAGAAGCCAGAGGGTAGTCCCTGTTCTTCTTGAGATCAGTGCGGGCAATGATAGCCACCAGCTCGTCATCTTCATTAACAATTGGCAGCTTGCCTGGAAACAGAGAAAGAACATTACTGCGCATTTCGGCAGGAGACAGACATTAGCTCAGAGCAGTGCAGCAGACCAGGAGCAGTGGGCAGGCAGAAACTGCTACAAGATGGAAACTCAGAGGAGTGTTACCAAATCTTGTTTGGCCATGGATGCCAACAGCACTGGCTCAAGAAACAGAGAAAGGAGTTTGCAGGACTGGAGAAGGAATCAGTATTTTTACATCAACCATAGAAAACGTGTGCACTTTTTAATAATTAGACACACAACACTCTATTAATAGTCAAACTACTTAACCGTAAGAGAGCTGAACTGAGTGCTGAAATGTGAAGGCTAGACAGAAAACCAAAGACGTGGCTAGACAGCCAAATGCTGGGCTGCCAAGAATCCCTTGACTCCAAACACATTTGAGATGAATGCATGTGAACTCTGTACCCTGGCAGAGGGCTGCGGGCACTCTTTTCACTGTCATCTCTGATGTTTCACCCCCGCAGGGACTGTGTGCCCACGTTCACCCACTGCTGCCCCAGCGCTTCCACAGCTCTCTTTGTACCACAGACGGTCACAGGTACCTTTTTTACTCCTTTGCAGAATTTCATTTGCTTCTTTCAACATTACGCCAGCTGGGGCCACAACAAGATCCTCCCGCTTTGTCATAATCTAGTAGGTGGGAGAAGATAAAAAGTCACAAAAACTCCTTCACACTGATCTGAAAATACCAAACCCCCCTGCCCACGTGAAACAGTGGCCATGCGGGAGTGCTCCACAAGAGCCCACAGCACAGCAACACGCCTCCAGAAACACACAGGCAAAGCCTCCAGTGTGCTGTCTCCATGCAGGCACTGGCATCAGGCCCCAAGCCCATTGGGTGCACTGAAAACAGGAGATGGCAGAAGACCTCAGGAAGACAAGTGAAAGCACCTGGAAACAAGGGAAAACTCTCAGATGACCCTTATTTGGGACAGCTCTCCCTTTCAATGGAGCACACGCAAATAAGGGCTGGAGACACCTTCAGAGTGTCATGCTGTTCTGGCAGAAATGGTGCCCCCAGTCTCATTTTCAGGCAGCATCTCCAGTGCTCTGGAAGGGCTCTGCCCAGAATAACCCACTGCTATTGCTGGTCAGGTCAGTGGGGCAAAGGAGTTGCATCAATCCAAATATGCTCACGCACACTCACTCTAACATACAAGCACCAAAACACAGTGGAAAGCCAAGGGCAGTGGGGAACAGGTAAACATCTGACCTGGTATGGTGGCTTTCACCACAACAGTAGTCTCCCACTGGGAGAGCAGCCCAGAGAGATAATGAAATCTCCATCCTTGGAGATTTAGACACAGCCCCACAAAATCTCCTCCAGCTCAATGTGCCTCGAGCAGGTAGCTTGAGAAGAGATTTCCAAGTCCCTTTTCAACCACACCATTCTGTGATCATCAAGTCCCCATGAAAGGTTATTTGAGAAGGCTGGTCAAAGCTAAAAGGGAACATTCTCTAACCCTTCAGGAAGGTAGATCAGTTGCAAAGAAGGAACATTTTAGTTATTTATACCATAAAAACAGGTATTTATATCAGAAAGAGGCCTGCATCTATCCCAAAATGCTGTATGTGACAGAACCCACATCTCAAGGGAAGCTTGAGGCATCACAGACATATCACAGAATCACTGGGTTGGAAGAGACCTCCATGATCATCAAGTCCAGCCCATACCCTAACACCTCAATTAAACCATGGCACCGAGTGCCACATCCAGTCTTTTTTTAAACACATCCAGGGACAGTGACTCCACCACCTCCCCAAGCAGACCATTCCAGTATTCTGTTACTCTTTCCATAAAAAACTTTTTCCTGACATCCCACCTATATTTCCCTTGGCGCAGCTTGAGATTGCATCCTTTCATTCTGTCAGCTGCTGCCTGGAGAAAGAGACCAACCCTCACCTGACTGCAGCCACCTTTCAGGGAGCTGTAGAGTGGTAAGATCACCCCTGAGTCTCTTTTTCTCCAGGCTAAACAACCCCGACTCCCTCAGCCGTTCCTCACAGGGCTTGTGTTCCAAGCCCCTCACCAGCCTCGTTGCCTCCTCTGGATGTGTGCAAGTGTCTCAATATCCTTCCTAAACTGAGGGGTCCAGAACTGGACACAGCACTCAAAAGTGTGGCCTCACCAGTGCTGAGTACAGGGGAAGAATGACCCTCCTGCTGGCCACACCATTCCTGATACAGGCCAGGAACCACTGGCCTTCTTGGCCATCAGGGCACACTGCCGGCTCATGTTCAGCCAGCTGTCCACCAGGTCCCTTTCTGCCTGGGCACTGTCCAGCCAACCATCCCAAGTCTGTAATGTTGCAGGGGGGTTTTGTGGCCAAAATGCAGGACTTCACAGTTGGACTTCTTAAACTTTTATTTTATTGGACTCTGTCCATCCATCCAACCATTCCAGGTCTCTCTGCAGAGCCCTCCTACCTTCCAACAGATCAACACATGCTCCCAGCTTAGTGTCGTCTGCAAATTTACTGATAAAAGACTCAATACCCTCATCCATGTCATCAATAAAAATACTGAACAGGACTGGCACAGACCCCTGAGGGACACCACTGGTGACTGGCTGCCAAATGGATGCAGCACTGTTCACCATCACTCTCTGGGCCCAGCCACCCAGTCAGTTCTTAACCCAGCAAAGAGTACTCCTGTCCAAGCCATGGGCTGCCAGCTTTTCCAGGGAATGCTGTGGCTCACGGTGTCAAAGGCCTTGCTGAAGTCCAAGTAAACAACATCCACAGCCTTTCCTGCATCCATCAGGCAGGTCACTTCGTCATCAAAGGAGATCAGGTTGGTCAAACATGACCTACTCCTCCTAAACCCACGCTGGCTGGGTCTGATACCCTGGCCATCCTGTAAGTGCTGTGTGATGACATCAGTATAAACTGTTCCATTACCTTACCAGGTACTGAGTTCAGGCTAACTGGCCTATAATTACCAGGATCCTCCTTCCCACCCTTTTCGTGAATGGGGGTCACATTGGCCAGCTTCCAGTCATCTGGAACCTCACCAGTGAGCCAGGACTGTTGGTATATGATGGAAAGTGGTTTTGCAAGCTCATCTGCCAGCTCCCTCATCACCCTGGGGTGGATCCCATCTGGTCCCATAGATTTATGAACATCCAAGCAGCTCAGCAGTCCTCTGACTGCCTCCTCCTGGATAACAGAGGGACCTCTGCTTCCTGACACCATCTACCAGCCCATGAGGACAGTTGTCCAGAGGACAAGCTGTCTTCCCACTAAAGATTAAGGCAAGGAAGGTGTTAAGCACTTCCACCCTCTCCTCATCTGCAGTTGCTAAGTTCCCTCCTTCATCCAATAGAAAACAAAGGCTGGTCTTACCTTTCCTTTTGCCGTGAATATATTTGTAAAAACATTTTTTTTTATCCTTTACAAAAGTTGACAAATTAAATTTGAACTGAACTTTGGCCTCTATAATTTTTTTCCTACATGTTCTAGCAAGCCCCTTAAATACTTCCTGGGAGATCTGACCCTCCTCATTTTACCAAATATCAAGAACTCTGTAATTTCATGATCCCTATGCCCCAAGCAACCTCCAACCACCACATCTCCCACCAGCCCATCTCTATTTTCAAATAACAGGTCTAACACAGTCCCTCCCCTGGTGGGCCCACTCACCAGCTGTGACAAAAAGTTACCCTCCACATACTCTAAAAACTTCCTGGACTGCCTCTTTTCTGCTGTATTGAGTTCCCAGCAGATGTCTGGTAGGTTAAAGTCACTTACAAGAACAAGGGCTGGTGACACTTCCTAAGCCTGTGGGGTTCATGTGCTTCCCATGCTACAGTAGACCTGTTTGTTTAAGTGGATGGCGACAAATGGCTCAGTAAAAGGACTGCTGGACTGCAGGTGAAGAGAAGATTGAGGAAACCACTTGTTCCCCTGGCCCTGCCTGGTGACAGGGACAAGCACCAGACACAGACAGCAGAAAGTTTCCTCCTCTGCAGTGCTTAATTACTCACTCAGAAAGTATTAGGGAAGATTCTTATCTGGCTCCTTTGAATGGGCCATGAGCACTTTTATAACCTACTTCTGGTTTAAGGATCTTGTATCATGTATTTGTAGCTGATTTCAAACCAAATAGGGATCAGCATGTGACACCAGGTTTGGTCAGCAAGAGCTAAAAATATTTGTGAGCCAAGAGCAAAGTATGGCCAAGAGGCACTAGTGGTGTAACCTGACAACACCACAGATCTCCAGTTACACAGCTTGTGTAACTGGAATCACAGAACGTTCTCCTGCATGAGGGGAGGCTGACAGCAAAGCATTGTGAAGGCCAAACTGCAAGTTCGGGGGGTTATTTGTAAGAGCAAGTAACCTACATGAGTCATACAGGGATGGGCAGCCCAGAAAAGGAATCTCAGTACTTGGAGGGCTTGTTGGGCAGAGCACAGCTGCTACAAAGCTGGCCAGTGCCAGCATGTGGGACTACATCAGCAGCCACAAACACCAGCAATTAATTAGTGAAGCAGGGGAGAGTTTCCACAGCACTGACAGATAACCACCATGACTCACATAAGCTGCATGGTCTGTATTGCAGGAGTCGCTCAGAGAGTGCAAATGAGCAAGACACTCTCCCCTGGAAATACACTCACAGACAGATCTGCAGAGCTAAGCTGGAGCTGCTCCCTCCCAGTGGCAGAACATCCTCAAAGCCACACACTCACCCTTGTCCTTATCACAAGCCACACTGCTTCCTAACATAGTGTTCACATCCATAAGGTGTGAGCACTTCTCACCTCACCGAGGGGCAGGTCATGCTCTGACTCTTTCAGGAAATCAATATCTCTGGACGAGATGATCCCAACCAGCTTGCCCCCCATCTTCCCATTGTCCGTGATAGGAATCCCACAAAATCCATGACGAGCTTTTGCTTCAAACACATCTCGCACTCGGTCATTGGGGCTCAGCACCACGGGGTCTGTGATGAATCCTTGCTCGTATTTCTGAAAGGAAGCAGATCCAGCAGCCAGGCTGAGTGGCACTGCCAGGCCAGACAGGAGCGAGCCACGTGCCTGCAGACTACTGCAGCCACTCACACGGGTCTGCAACCACGCAGCCTAGCCACATGCTCACCAACAGGACGACTCTCAAACCAGCAACAAGGCTCACCCAAGTAATGTTAAAATCCAAGCGTCTCCAGGCTAACCTCCCTCCTGAAATGATGGAGAATATTCCCGCACCAGGAGGACTCAAATCCCAGGCTCACCATACACAGTGCCTGGCACACAACAAGAGGGCTGTGCCTGCAAACCCTGGCAGCACTACAGTTCTGAAACACCAAGACCGGGCACACGTCAGCAATCTCTTCACACAGCTCATTCAGCGAGGCCAGACCGCTGCCCACCTCCACAGAGGACCCTGTGCCAGCACGATTTGGTGCTCCTGTTCCAGCCACTCACCTTCACCTTCCGCACTTCGTTGGCCTGGAACTCCGGGGTGCAGTTGTGGTGGATGAACCCAATTCCTCCGGTCAGCTGGGGACACAAAGGCGGCTGTGAGTCACTGCAGACACTGCCCGGCGCTGCACTAGCCGGGTGCAGCAGTGGGACCGGCACCGATGGAGCCCCCGGGCCCGGGCTCGCCCCGAGGGGCTGCGGGGACCCCAGGGCAGCCACGCGGGTGCCTCAGGCAACGTTTCCTGCCCCGCCAGCCCCGTGAGGGCGGCACAGAGGACCCGCCCGCGGGGCCGCACTCACCGCCATGGCGATGGCCATGCTGGCCTCGGTGACTGTGTCCATGGGCGAGGAGACCAGCGGGGTCTTCAGGGTGATTCTCTTGGTCAGCGCCGAGGTCAGGTCCTGGCGGGGAGGCAGGCGGCGGCGGCGGGTGAGCGGCGGCACCGGCGCAACCCCCGGCCCGGCCCCCGGCCCGCTCCCCCGCCCCGGCCACTCACCACCTGGTCCGCCGTGAAGTCGATGTACCCCGGGAGGATGAGGAAATCGCTGCGGGGTAACGAGGGGAGACGCGTCAGCGACCGCAGCGGCCCCGCGCCCCAAGTCCCGATCCCACCCCCGTGCCGGCCGCACTCACTTGTAGGTGAGCCCATCGCCGCAGCTGAAGAGCTGCTGCGCCGTTAGCCCGTCGTCGGGCACGTAGCCGGTGCCGCCGCTGATCAGATAGTCCGCCATGGCCCCGCCGCGTGCCCGCCCCGCCACACCGAGCGCACGCGCGCCCCGACGGCCGCCGGGAGGGACCCGCTGTGCCCGCCCCGCGACAGAGCGCGGACAGAGCGACTCCCACAGGGGCCGGCGCCGACAGCGCCCCCTGGCGCAATGGAGGGCGCCAGAGCGGAGCACAGCCCCGGCCCTCGCCCTGCGTGGTGCCGGGCGGCGGCGGGGACACACCGGGCCCGCCTGCCGCTCTCAGCCGACATCAGCAGCTTCTGAACAGCTTCTCAGCACCGAGCCCGTACGTGTTCAGTCCGGTGACCTTGGGTCATCGCGGCTGTTCTGTGCTCAGGACGAGCAGCTGGGTCCATGTACCGGCAAGAGGCAACAGGAGCGAGCTGAACTCCAGTACGGCCCAGTAGGGCCCTGCGTGCCGGGCTCTGGCTTGGCTGGCACCAGCTTGTGGCACCAGTACAGTGTGATATCTGCTGGAAGACCACCTAAAAAAGCCCAGCTACGGGTGACATGGTGACATGCACAGAGAGATACTGGGGTGGGAGCTGAGTCCAACAACAGGTACTCCCGCAGCTTTAGAAGACAAGAATAGGCTTGTTGGGTCTGTGGTGAATGCAGAGCTGGGACAAACCAGCAGAATCAAAACGAATGTAAGTCAAAGGGAGCTGCACGAAAGATGAAAGTCAGGAGGCAGCAGCAAGGGCAGTCTTGCACCTCGAGGGGAATGAAAGGGAGAGAGGCAGGAGTCTCACCAGAGTGGAGCCAAAGTGATCCCAGCTAGGCATTAGCCCCCTCTTCCCAAAGCCACCAGGCCAGGCTGTACAAATAAGCAGTATGAAGAGGATAACTGCATGCTGGGGATGGGGGTGTAGCACCTTCAGTTCTGTGCCATAGATTGGGGCTGGAGGGAGGAATTTGGAGAAGAGCAGTAGCATGAGGACTGTGCCCAGAGGAGCAGAACAGGTACAAACACTGATCTCCTACAGAGGAGCCTTGCAGGACATAGCAGTTGGCTTTTTCCAGGATGAGATGTTCCCATCCTTACAGTTCCATTTGAGCATCAGGAAGAATTCCTGTACTCCAGATTACAGAACATCTTCCTCCTCTTGGTTTGCTTGCTGTGACATTCCAGCCTCAGAGCACCAGGGACATGAGACAATCACATTCCTTCTCTCTCATCTGCTCCCCATAACATGCTGTCCAAGGCAACCCCATCTAACACTAACTAGTTCAGGGACTAAAGAACAGTGCTCCTGTGCCTACAACTCCCTGCAGCAGAGGGTTAATTCCCTGTTCAAAGATCAGAAAGCAGCTTCAAGAAATGTGTTACTCACGTTACCCTGTAGGACACAGGAAATGTGAACAGAGATTGGAAAGCACCGCCTGCCAAGGACATGCACTCTCAAATCTGCATTACCTGTCACAGGATCAGCGGAATGGGAGGTGTCATGCCAGACCAAGATCAGTGTGACAGGTCTCTCTATCCTTATTTAAAAAAAGAACAGGCTAACAAAAGTTTGCTGAGCCTACCTGGGAGGCACATAGGGATCTGAGCTGTTGTGCTACACCACGGGCACAGCAGTAAACAAGCATGTTTGGCTTCTGTTCCAACAGAAACATCAGACAAAGTTTAATGGTTCTCAAACAGACTACAACAAAGGCTGCAGGGAAAAACATTTTATTTCCAAGCAGATTACAAAGAGCAGAGAATATAAGAGTAAAATTAAATTAAAAAAATAGTTGAGTGCATCTCTTTAAAATGATTTGTAGTGTGAGTTACTCACGGGGCAAAGCTACTGGAGAGTTCTGAAGGTCACTTTGCAGGATGCCAATCACATGTGCTGTTTAGACCTGGGTCAACACAGGAGGGACAGACAAGATGTATTTTGCATATAGGCTGCACACTCATTATCAAGCGAGGTTTTGGGCTGCAACTGGACCCTGCCTTTTTGAGACATCCCCTCCACCTCATTCTCTCCTGCAGTTCCCTCAAGTTCTAGACATGGTTTATTGCTGCTGTAAGTGGGTTTAATCTGCCTTCCCGTTCTGATGAGCTCCAACGAGAAAGGAGAAGCAGGTAATCGTGTCTGCCATGCACAAAGTTACAGGGAACGTGACTGCAGTGCCAAGAGCAGAGCTTCAGCCACGTAGCAAAGGAAACCAGCAAGTAAGGACACAGCAATCGCTTCAGAGATTTGGGAGCAGCATGTCAGCAAGACTTCTGGAAGAATTGAGATGTTCCTTAAGGTAGGAAGAGGTATAAGTGGAGAAGGGCTCTTTCCTAAGCATTGGCACCAATGAAACAGAAGAGGCTGAATCATCTGGATAAGGTGCATTCCCTGTAAGAGAGGAGCAGCTCCAGCAATAAGATGGGGAGAAAAGCCCCATATAGGGTGGAAGACAGTTGATATCCCACTTGAACAGTGATTTAGGAGTCCAAGCACTAACTCCAAGTCAGTCAGTATTAAACTCACATAAGAATGTGGTTTGGCTGGGCAGCTGCACAGCCAGTGTCCAGCAGCACTCAGTCCAGCAAGAGGATGAGCAACTACAGTACCAGCAGTCCTCCACCCCCTGTACACTCAGGGGGGCTCTTTTCGGCCATTTCTGGATCTGCTCTTATCACAGCATGGGAGGATTCAAGGCCTCATCCCTTCTATGTATGCCCAGGCAGACAGTAGCCCTGATGCAGCTGAGAACAAGACTGTCTTTATTTCTGTCCTAGCAGCAGCAGTGCAGAACAGAATTTTTATTTAGAGATCAGATTAAGTCTTTTTGTATTGCCCAAGGCAGAACAGTTCAGGAACTACTTCAGACCTTGTGACCCCCCTGAAGTCCAGACCTCTAGGGGTGAGGCAGCCAACAGATGAGAACCCTATGAAGTTCTTAGACCATTCCCCTTACACACTGCTCTAGACAGGAGTGAAGAACCACTCTCTAGTCTGCTCTCCGCTGCTTCAGCCGTTACCACTTAAGCGCAAATGCTTGACCTCTTGAAAGCAAATGAAAATCTAATGGTGCTGTGGACACATGTGTAAGAGGCTACAAGTTTCCTAAAGAAAGCAACACTTAAATGTCAAGAGCTTGGACAATACACGAGTCTCATGTCAGAATGTGAGGTGTTTTACAACAGTCAGTCTCTGCTTTCTATGGTTCCTTTCATCCCACAGTGACAAGATGGGCAAAAATCAACAACACACAGTCTCTAGCTTGACTTGTCAGCTCTATTTATTTAGAGATTGATGCATTTTCAGCCTGTCTCATACAAGGCATTGGGCATGGAGAGTTCCTGTCAATATATACACGCATACAAGAGCAGTACAAGCAGTTTGGCACTCTCAGAGCCAAGGGGGAATGCCCTTAAAGCAGCAGTCAAGCTGGTTATAGGAAAGTGTTAAAAAGCTATTTTACATGTTTGACTGGGAACATTTCCCAGAATGTGGATAGCAACTCTAAGCCACGGCACTCTTCTGTGCTACTCTGTGCACGTCTTCCTACAAGCCCCTACAAGGGAGCAGATCATGTTCTTCACTATCAAAGAACATAGTATTTAGATTCTAGAAATACTGTACCTTTTAAACTAGCTCCAGAGAGACAGACTAGAAGCCAGATCCAGGAAAATAATCCTTAAGTCACAGTATATCGATTGTCTCTAAAAATAGGGAATGAAGTTAACACAGTGGACATTCTGATGAGACAGTACAGAACAGTGCAGCAGTCCACTTCTGCATCAGCAGATCCTCTCCTATGTACACGTGGACAATGAGAAAGGAATGGAAACACTCCAGTCCATCAGGACAAAACCAATTATCAGGAGATCTCCACAGCTCATCATGTGCCTACTTTCCCTGTTCTTAACCAGTATCCTCCAAGGAGAAATCTTCCCCCTAGAAAGATTTGAGATCATCTTGCAGTTAAGAGTAGTAAGGAAAGTGCACAACCTAGAATTTTAAGGTAACATGGAATTTTATTTCCCCAGAAAGCTCAGCTGAAGTTCCTCTTTGTCCCCAACCTGCAACTGCCCTAAAGTTCTGTCAAGTATTGCAGCTTCTGTCAATTTTAAGTGTTTTAAGAGGTGGCTCTCAAGGCTGCCCAGTAAAGCAACTGGTACAGTGTGTACCTGGCAGATTGTTTAATATCCACTGTATTTCTGATGGAGACAGCCAAGGTAGCAGGCTTTCCAACTCTGCTCTGATGATGGGACAAACTGCCCAAAAGAAAGGGAAAGCCACTCTGCATGCCTGCAGGGCACACCCTGCACAGCAGGCACATAATGGAATAGTGGGAGCCTGCCCCAGCCCTGCCCTCAAAGACTTAAAGGGCCAAAGATGTACATGTCAGTCACTAGGATATGGTGAAAGGATTACAGGCTTCTGACAGCTGATGCAGTACTGGTGATCCCAAGAGCCACCCTACAAGTGGGCAGTTGCTGACTCCCAGCAGCCAAACTGAGGTCACAGTACCTGCTGCCAGCCCTACACCCACCCTAGGCACCATCTTCCCAGCTTACCCACTGGGATCTGGGCACTGATCCCAGGCTGTTTTCCTCTGGCCTAGTTCTGAGGGCAGACACTAAGCTAAGAGTCTAAAACAACTGTGTATTGCTACTTCACCTCTCTGCACGCACTTACTTGAGCACAGAGTCCTGTAGAGGGAACAAACTGCTCATACTGACAGCAAATTCAAGCACACCTGCTTCCTCAGAAATACCAACATCAATATGAAGCATCAGAGGCTTGGGAAGTCTCTCTAAGCTGCACACCTCAACACTGCTCACAAGCACAAAGAAAGGGAACATTGGCTACTCTCATCAATTTACACTCTGCACAACCAACAGAGAGGGCAGACCTTCCTTCTCAATACAGATAGATGCTGGACAACAGAGGCTTCAGGAAAGTTGCTTGCCTGTACACAAGTTTATGTTCTTTTACTGTAATATATATTTAAATATTTATCTGTGTATTTTGGAACGGGGAAGGGACATGAGGTGCAGAAGCAGGGAAGACAAGTTCAAGAAGCAGAGTAACTTCTCTGCATCCAAGAAGCCGGTGGCACAAGTAACAAGCTTGGCAAGTGATCTCCCATTTCAAGCAAAGCTGGCTAC